GATCATTTGAGGGTATTTACACCCACCTACATCCGGTAATATTCTTCCTTGCTCTTTCTCTAATGGTTGGTGACTTGTTGGACATATGTTGGTATTGTTGGATTGATTTCTTTCTTTTCCCCTCCCATGGATTACTTGATTTATGTTTGAGCATGTTGTTTCATTCAAGCTTGGGGGAGGGTATTCTATCATGTTTGGTGGGATGTTGATCCATATATGCCATGCACATTTGTATATGCATTTCCATGTTCTTTTATTTTGAAAAACTCCAAAAAGATTCAAATTGCTTTTTTTTTTTTAATTTTTTTCTCTCTCTTTGTTTTTTTAGAGCCCATACATTGGTTTGTAGAGCCTTCAATATGAAACTTTTTGAATAAAACAACAACGGATCAAATCATTGTAACAACAATAATCTACTTCATACTGCATATGCTCTACTAATCTAAGAAAAAAACAAATTTCATTTTTTAGACAATGACTCATAAGGGTAATTAGAAAAATAGGCTAAGAAATCTCAGATTGGGATTTTTAATGGATCATGTCATTGGTAAGCTTTTAGGCTTATGTGGTGCAAATACTTTAATGCCTAAATCATTTCTTCCTTATTACAAAACCACAATATTGACTTCCATCAGGCTGGTGACTGTTCAAAGAAATCAGTTTTTCAAGAATATTTTTTATTTTTTTGCATACATACAAGTCTATAAGCCAAAGTTAAGCACAGTAGAGTGAATATTGAATCATACGCAATGCACTGTCCCAACTTGTCATAAACCACTAGACTTAATATTAAGAAACATGACTAACTCACCAGTACACTCCCCCCAAGCTTAATGCACACATTGTCCTTAATGTGTGAAGAGAGAAAGAAAGAAAGAAAAAGAAATGGAAACGAGCTCACCAGGTGAAGTCATAAGCCTTGAGCACTGACTGTGTATCTGGTTTGGAGCAATTCCCCAAGCTTAAACCAGCTCATGTGTCCGGCTGCAAACACTGGGTACTAAGATGCAGTAGATGTACAAAATTGTGCTTGAAATTTTTCAAAATGCTTCCTCAATTTTCTAGCAGAATACAAGAGGGTGTTGCTTCAGCTTTGCACTTAGCTATGCTTTGTCCCATAGTATTGTACTGTAACAAATGATACCAAATCAAACCACAATTAGTTTCTAGAATATTATAAAAGGGCTTACAGATACGAGCAGGCGAAATCTCTGAACTGGTTAATTTTTTTTTTTTTTTTTAGTAACATAAATATAACATTGACAATAAAATGACGAGAAAGCAAAAATAAAAATAAAAATAGAAAATAATCCTAAATTTGGGCTACCTCCCAAGAGCGCTTTATTTATCGTCGTGAGCTCAACGCCTTTCCAGCATGCTAGTCGTCATAATTTGGAGCTTCAAGCTCCATCATTTCAATGTTGTGGACCTAATAACCCTCATAGTACGGCTTGAGCCGATGGCCGTTCACCTTGAATTCCTTCCCCGTTTCCTCACTTTGAATCTCCACCGCACCATGATCATACACCTTGGTGACAAAAAATGGCCCAACCCATCGAGAACGAAGTTTACAAGGAAAAAGTTTGAGCCGAGAATGATACAAGAGAACTTTCGGCCCTCTATAAATGTCTTTTATGTGATGCGCTCATCATGGAATGCCTTAGTATTTTCCTTATAAATTCTCGTGTTCTCAAAAGCATCATTTCGGATTTCCTCAAGCTCTTGTAACTGAAGTTTCCTTTGTTCACCTGCTGCATTCATCTCCACATTGCACTGCTTCACGGCCCAAAAAGGCTTTGTGTTCCAATTCTACCGGAAGGTGACAAGGTTTTCCGAACACAAGCCTATATGGAGACATCCCAATTGGCGTTTTATATGCTGTTCTGTATGCCCACAAAGCATTATTAAGGCGAAGGCTCCAATCTTTTCGGTTTGGATTCACAGTTTTCTCGAGAATGGACTTGATTTCTCGATTGGAAACTTCTTCCTGTCCATTCGTTTGTGGGTGATACGCTGTGGAAACTCTGTGGAACACATTATACTTCTTTAAAAGAGCTCCTACTGTCTTATTACAGAAGTGTGTCCCCTTATCATTGATGCTGGCCCTTGGGAATCCATATCTAGCAAAAATATTTGACTTCAAATATTCCGCAACAACTTTAGAATTGTCAGTATGGGTGGCTATAGCTTCCACCCATTTCGAAACATAATCGACAGAAAGCATAATATATTGAAAATCGAAAGAAGAGGGGAAGGGTCCTATGAAATCCATACCCCAAACATCGAAAATTTCACATATTAAAATGGGAGTTTGGGGCATTTCATTCCTAGGACCTAGTGTACATGTCCTTTGACAACTGTTACAAGCCTTACATATTTCATATGCATCTTTGAAAATTGATGGCCAGTAGAAACCACTCTTTAAAACCTTGCGTGCAGTCCTCTTAGGTCCAAAATGTCTTCCACAAGCATAAGAATGGCAGAAAGTTAGTATAGAAATAAATTCAGAATCAAGTATGCACCTTCTGATCAGTTGATCAGCACAATATTTCAAGAGATATGGGTCATCCCATATGTAGTATTTTGTATGCTTCGCATTCAGTCATTTTATGCTTTGGTGTAGTTGCTGGAAACTTCCAAGATACTAGAAAATTCACCAAATCAGCATACCACGGAGTTCCTGAGCTCAAGGCATGAAGTTGCTCGTCAGGGACTCTTCATTGATTGGAGCTTTACCTTCATCAGCTTCCCCAACTAACTTGCTTAAATGATCAGCAACACTATTGTCATAACCTTTTTTTTATCTCTTATTTCAACATTAAATTGTTGAAGCAATAAAATCCAACGTATTAGCCTAGGTTTAGATACATCCTTTGACCATAAATATTTCAGCGCTGCATGATCAGTAAACAAAACAATTTTAGTACCCAATAAATAAGACCTGAATTTGTCTAAAGCAAAAACTACAGCTAAAAGTTCTTTATCAGTTGTAGTATAATTATCTTGAGCCGCATCCAAAGTCCTCGAGGCATAGTAGATGGCATGGGGAACTTTTCCGACTTGTTGGCCTAGCACTGCCCCTACATCATAGTTGGACGCGTTGCACATCAGTTCGAATGGAAGCTCCCAGTTAGGAGGTTGTAGAACAGGGCAGTGACCAACTTGTCTTTCAGCTTGTCAAATGCTTGCTTACAGGCCTCATCAAAGTGGAACTCCACATCTTTTTGGAGTAGTCTGCATAATGGTTGTGCAATCTTCGAAAAGCCTTCAATAAACCTTCGATAGAAACTTGCATGGCCAAGAAAAGAAAGAACTTCCCGCAGAGAGGCGGGGTAAGGTTGAGAAGAAATAAGATCTATTTTAGCTTTATCGACTTTTATTCCTTCAGAAGACACAATATGGCCTAAAACTATACCTTATTGAACCATGAAATGACATTTTTCAGAATTAAGCACAAGGTTAGTTTCAAGACAATTTTTATGAACCACAATGAGGTGTTCTAAGCAACTATCAAAAGAATCTCCATGTATAGTGAAATCATCCATGAAAACTTCTATAAAATTTTCAAGATATTTTGAAAAGATGCTTACCATACATCTCTGAAAAGTCGCTGGAGCATTGCACAGTCCAAATGGCATACGACGATAAGCAAATGTACCGTATGAGCATGTGAACGTTGTTTTTTCTTGATCCTCCGGAGCTATAGGGACATGCACATAACCTAAATATCCGTCAAGAAAACAGTAATAAGCATGATCAGCAAGACGTTCTACCATTTGATCAATAAAGGGTCAGGGAAAATGATCTTTTCGAGTCATAGAATTAAGTTTCCTGTAATCTACACAAAATCTCCACCCATTTTGAACTTGGGTGGGAACCATTTCTTCCTTATCGTTTTCCACAACTGTGACTCCTGACTTTTTTGGGACCACTTGCAAGGGACTGACCCAAGGACTATCTGAGATAGGGTATATCACCCCTACTTCGAGAAGCTTCAATACTGCTTTCTTAACCACTTCCATCATTGGTGGATTAAGTCATCGCTGCACTTGTCATACAGGTTTAGCTCCCTCTTCTAATAAGATTCTATGCTGACACATAGAGAGGCTAATTCCTTTTATATTAGAAACCGTCTAACCTAGAGCTGTTTTATGCTCCTTGAGAACTTGCACAAGCTTTTGCTCTTTAGTTGGCATTAAGTTACTCGCGATTATGACTGGAAGAGTGTCACTTTCTCCCAAAAATGCATACTTCAAGTGGTTAGGTAGAGATTTTAACTCCACTTCAAGTGGCTGTTTAACAGAAGGCAGAAGTCTATTAGATTTGACAGGAAATTTCATAAAACGATCTGAATACCTTCCTTGCTTATTTAGAAGCACTTTCAGGGAAGAGAAAGCTTCCTTGATCTCATCTTCGAGCTCAAAATGTTCCTGCAGGTTAATGTATTGCTCTTTTTCCATAGGTTCAGTCAAAACAACATCTAACCCATCATGATCAGAGAGAAAAAATACTTGCTCAGTTAGTGCATCAATGACATCTATACTAGAAACAGATTCACAATCCGAAGGGTATCTCATCGCATCAAATAAATGAAACCGGATAACCTCCCCATCAAATTCCATGGTCAAAACCCCACTATGAACATCAATCTTGGTTCTAGATGTTTTTAGAAAAGGTCTCCCTAATAAGATTGGTGTTGCATTAGAAGATTCATCATTTGGCATATCTAACACATAAAAGTCAGCAGGAAACACAAGTTCATTTACTTGTATTAAGATATCCTCAATCACTCCTATAGGATATGTATTAGAATGATCTGCAAGTTGAATAATCACACGAGTATCTTTCAAAGGTCCTAAGTTTAGAGCTTTATAAATAGATAAAGGCATCACATTAATAGAAGCTCCTAAGTCTAACATACATCTCTCATATCTTGTGTTATGTATTCTACAAGGTATTGTAAAAATACCTGGATCCTTGCACTTGGGAGGAATTTTCTTCTATAAGACAGCAGATACATTCTCACTTACACTGACCTTCTCATCTCCATTCAATTTTCGCTTGTTAGTGCACAAATCCTTCAGGAACTTTGCATAACGTGGCACTTGTTTAATGGCTTCCAGTAAAGGTATGTTCATCTCTACGTTGCGAAATACATCTAGCACCTCCTTCTCAATCTCTTGTTTCTTACGCTTAGAAGTTAACCTGCTAGGGAAAGGAACATAAGAAGAAAAATGGTCAGTTTTGGATGAAACAACATCACTTACCTTAGAGGGCTGCTCATTTTTTTCTTGAACAATAGTCTCTTGTTCCTCTTGGTATTCTGCCAGCCCTTCAGTCTTTTTTGCTGGGACCTCTAATTGCTTGCCACTTCTAAGTGACATTGCACTTGCATTCTTCTTTGGATTTCTCTCTGGTTGACTCGGAAGCTTGTTAGAGTTCTGAGCTTGGAGCTTTCCCACTGTGTTAGCTAACTGAGAAACTTGGTTTTCCAAGTTCTTTAGTCCACGTCTTGTTTCTTGCTGAAAATGCAAAGTGTTGTCAGCCATTGCCTTCACGATATCTTCCAGAAACATGCTACTAGATTGTGGTTGGGAAACTTGTTGATTTTGAGGTCGCGATTGATGTTGCGGTTGTTGATGAAAACCAGGTGAAGGATTAGATGGTAGTTGCTGCTGGAAAGCTGGTGGTCTGAGGTTGAAGTTGCTTGTCTAGTGCTGAAAATTACCATATCTCAAGTTTGGATGATCTCTCCACCCCGGATTATAAGTCTGAGAGAACGAATCATATTGTCTTTGCTACCCTTGAACACCACTAATGGAGTTCACTTGTTCTTCTTGCATAGTGGGGCACATATCAGTTGGGTGTCCCTACTATTGAATAGATGCCACATGCTTTTTCTTGCCCTTTTTTTATCATCACCCGCTCCACTAAGGAAGTAAGTTTAGCTACTTGTTGCTCGAGGCTAGAACTCACCGCTTCATTAACTTGACGTACAGAAGTGGACTTGATATTTCGACCTCCTCGATATTGAGAGTTTGCTGCAATGTTTGCAATCAGGGTCTTTGCCTCTTCGGGTGTCTTTTTAACCAATGCTCCGCCACTTGCAGCATCAATTAGGTTACGATCCAACTCTGTGAGCCCTTCATAAAAACATTGCACTAGTGATTACTCACTCATCTGATGGTTAGGACATCTATCACATAGTTTTTTGAAACGCTCCCAATACTCGTGAAGTGTCTTTACATCTTCTTGTCAAATCTCACATATTTCTTTTCTTATGTTTGCTGCCAAAGATGCCGGAAAATATTTTTCTATGAATTTTTCTTGCATCTGAGTCCAAGTTGTGATGGTTCCTGCTAGAAGTTCGAACAACCACTCCTTAGCAGCATCAGTCAAGGCAAAATGAAATGCCTTTAACTTGAGTTGGTAATGGGTTACACCAGCAGGTTTCATCCCCGCACATGCTATGTGAAATTCCTTCAAGAATATGTACGCCTCATTCATGTAAACTGAGAACGAGATCCTTTTAGCTACAAAAGAAGTAGCAAAAGGATTAATTATTATGTTGGGTTTCGTAGTGTCCAACACTACGCGGAATGAAACCCTCCCAAAATCCGCACACAAATTAAAGTAACTAAGCATGCATATTAATTAATTAACAATCAGATAATTAATTAACAAGGAGAGAGAAAGAAGAAAAGACAATCTTACCCTTGACGTGTGCTTCGCTCTTTCTAAGAGCTCGTTCTTGAAAGCGTAAAGCTCCGCAAATGCGCAAGCCTCTGACAGCTCCTACCCTCGAGACCCGACCTGAAGAACTTAGAGTATTAGAACTAAGGTACTATCTTCTTGGAGATCCCTTAAAATTCACAACTCAAGTGTCCCTTCCCAATGCCAAATGATTGGTATTTATAGGGAAGGGAGCTCCTGAATTCCAATCTCCCATCAATGTGGGAGAGTTGGTAAAATGCATTTTATTCAATTTATTCTAATTCAAAAATCAAATTGAAATGTAAGTGAATCAACAAACGACAAGTGTCAAGTGGTGAGCAAGGGGTTAGGTGAGGACCACAAGGGGGGGGGGGGGAGGGACCATCCTCCCCTTGCTCCCCAAGCAAACCCACATTCACATGCCTTCACACGCATAACCAACAACACGCAAGAGCAGCCACACGCACAAGCTGTGGCTGGCATGGGCGCAAGGCATGGCTGGCTGCTAGCCTTGCTGTGCGGCACACACACATGCTGTGCTACCATCGCTTGCCTTCGTTAGCTAGCTGATGCTTGTGCTAGGTGCTGCTCAGCACGCAAGCACGCACAACCCACAACACACGAACGCATAGCACGCTGCTGCTGCTGATGCGATGCTCGTGCTAGGCGCAGCCTAGCTGCTACTATGCTTGCGGCTGAGTGCGAGGCCCAGCACACTAGCACGCATGGCGCGCCAATTGGGGGATAATAGGTCGTTGGTCTACTACCCTATATCAAATTTACAATATATAATCCTAACCTAACTCTATCAAGTTTACACTAGATAGTGGCAAGCTAGGGTCGAACCACAAGGACTAAGTGTATTAATTTGAGCTAATTAAACTAGTAGGAAGGGTTGTGAGATAGAGAGATAAACAACTAAAACACGTTTTAAAGCAATAAACAAGGTACTAGGGAAAGGGGAATCCAATTATATTAATGAATTCAATGACAAGTCACAATTCGATGATCATGGTCTCAATAAGGAACGATCAACAAACTCAACTCACTCTCGCGTAATTAAGCATGTTAATTATCCTACTAAGCTAATTCACTCCCGCGCAACTAGCCTAGCAAAGGTATGGAAGAATCTAGACTCTTAATCAACTCACTTTTGCACAACTGATTGCAAGCACAATGAAGAACCTAAAATCAATTAGCTAAAAAGATTCTAGTCAATGTAAGCATCATTCAAACACAATAATCAAGAATCAATTGCATACTAATCACAACCAATCACTCAATTCATCAACCTAACCTTCATCCATTTCCCTAGAACAAAAACTAAGCAAACATAATGAAGATGAACATGGAAAACAAGATAAAACTAAAATTAAAGCAAGAATCAAACAACCAAACTAATTAACTACTCTAACCAACAATGAATTAAACAAAAACAAGAATTAAACAAAGCAATAAACGTGACAAAAAGTTAGAAAAGCTCATTGAATAGATGAGAAGAGAATCCACAAAGTTGCTTCTTCAACCTCCCAAATTTCCATTGAATTCCAAGCGTTCTCTCTCTAAAACTACTCCTAAACTAGAGAGAGAAACTCCTAATCTAAACATAATCCTAATTAGAGGAGAGAGAAAATGTAAAACTCTCTTAAGGAAGTCTAAGAAGTCCTCTATTTATATTACAAGAAGAGAAAGAAGGAAATCCGGAAATTAAGCTCGAAAAAGACCAAGAAATCAGCGCCCGCGGCGGCCATGGCTGCGCCTGCGTTGGCCGGAGCCGCGCCCACGGCAAGGCTTTTCCGAGGCATCTCCAGATTTTGCAAAGGCTAGGAAGAAAAGAGGGCCGCGCCCGCTGTGTCTTGGGCCACGCTCGCGGCGGTTGCGCAGCCTAGCAGTGTCTTGCAGATTCAAATGAACATAACTTTTTTTCTATGATGCTTCTTGGAGCGTGAAACCTATTTTTGGAAAGATCATCATGTCTAGTTTCCAACGCAATTTGAATCATCTCAATCCAATGTGTGGATCAAAAGTTATGACTGAAAGAGTAAACAAGACTCGGTTTAAGGCCTTCTACGAGCTTCAAGCTTTCTTGCCTCAAGCTTCTTAGCTTCTTTCTTAGCTTCAAGCTTCTTCTTTTAAATTTATTTGCCTTCTCTCAGGTCATAAGCATCGAAGAAAGCGCCAAGCACCTACACAAATATACCGAGAGAGAAAAGAGTTAAAGAACACATAGAAAAACACGCAAATCTAGCTAGAAACCGAGCAAAAAGCATATTATTGACAACTATGGCCTAAAATCATAAACTAAGACAAAGATAACTAAAACAAGACTAAAAGGAATAGAAATAACAAAGGAACACCAAAATAAACCTAAAACTAAGGGAGAAAAACGCCCTAAAATGTGTATAAATGACACTTATCAAATTCCCCCAAGCTTAACTCTTGCTCGTCCTCAAGCAAGACAAAAGCAAAAGAGAAAAGGAGAAAGGTTTATTCAAGAAAGACTAACACACTTAAGGAGATAAGAATGAACACTAACTCGCTTTTGTAGGAATCACGGTCAATTTTAGCAACTAAAGACAAGCCCTTTAAACCCCTAGATCGCTCTAGAGGACGAGTGTGCTCTCGTGAGGTTTTCCTAAGAGTTTAACCCACAACTCTTGACAAAAACCAAGGAAAGGAAATAGAAAGAAAAGAAAAAGAGAATTAAAAAGAAAAAGAAAAACAAGTTCATATTTGGACAAGAGATAGGAACAAGAACCAATAAATGTAAACTTTTCTAAATAGACAAATTAAATGTATGCACGTTCCAAGATGTCAATGGCTGATTGAAACATAAAACATGCTAAGCGTAGAGAACTAATGATGACTCAATCCACCCTCGTTCCAACCAATTGGGCTACGTTCTCTCCACTAGCTTCAAATCAACCCTTAAGCTAGCTTCTCATGATTCCTCGGTAAGGAACCGGAAAAAGATAAAGAAATGAAAATTATGAGAAGGTCATCCCGACATCTTAACTATGCATACTCTCTCCATAGGTTTTAAGATTATCTCCCTCCATCAATTTTGACTCAACCCTCAAGGGTCTAAGGGCCTTTTATTGGTTGTAACGTAAGGCTAGGGGTCAAGGCGGGGCAAAAAATTGAAAATTGGTGGTATACCTAATTGTGAAGCATAAGAATGGCCAATTCTCAACACCATAACCAAGTTATCACCAAAACTCAAACAAAAATACCAATAATGCCATCTCCCCCAAGCGTATTCAACACAAACACACAAAGTATAAACAAAAACGAAGGAACGTTCCCCCCAAGCTTGAATGAAGCATTGTCCTCAATGTTTAAAATAGGGAAGAAAACGAAACCAACTAAGATATTTTTGTTGTTGTTGTAGTTGGGTTTTTTTTTTAATTTTTTTTTAATTTTTTAAGATCTTGTTTGGTGTCCTTGCCTTTTTTAACTATGGACGGCTTTTTCTTGAATGCATTTGCTTTTATTACACATAATATATACAATTTACTTTCTTGCTTGGTCCAAAGGCATATTACTTTCACATTTTCATTCAAACCAACCCAACACAAAACAATTTTCCCAAACCAAAATGCTTCACCAAACTAAGGTTTAGGGAAATGAAAGGTCATAAGGCTTGATTAAGAAAGGGAATAGGCTCAAAGGGTTAGCAAGAGGGGCAGATGCAAAATAGAAAACCAAGTTTGTAACAAAACAAAAATAAGATAAGGAAAATGAACAATGCCCTTGTCCTCTCCTAGAGTGGCTCGGTCACGGTCTCGGGAAGCTAGAAGTCTAACCAAAGATTAAGACATGCATAGTTAAGGATCTAAAATTGCCACTCAACAAGGTGATGAAGGCTAGAATAAATGAGGCTCACAAGGGATGTATAACAATTACCAACTAAAGGGCTTCACATCCACTATAGAGAGAAACTCCATCTTACCACTTTCCCATGAACTAAGGTTTCATGGACCCCAAGAGTTCTTAAACCGGCTACCTTAGCATATAGTATCCTAGAATCAACCAATGACATTCTCAAACCGTGCACACATTCACCACTTAGGAAGAAAAACATCCAAGGATACAAATCCCAAAATAGGATGTCCAAAACAAGAACTAACAAAACACAATTCGCCAAAATCACCTTGAATGTAAACAAAAATCTTTTTGGATTTTACAAAATAAAGCACATCGAAATGCATATACAATTGCGCATGGCATAAATGAATCAAAATCCCACCAAACATGATAGAATACCCTCCCCCAAGCTTGAATGAGACAATACACTCAAATCAAAAACCATAGAGTCCATGGGAGGGGAAAAGAAAGAAATTAATCCAACAAACCAACACATGGTCTTCAAGCCACCAACCATTAGAGAAAGGGCAAGGAAAGATATTACCGGATATAGGTGGGTGTAAATACCTGCAAATGACCCAATTAAACCTTTAAAAGCTAAATTCCTCCAAAGCTATGTCTCATATACCATATACTAGGAAATACAAGTCAAACTTCTTTGATTCTTGATCCAACACCAATGCACTAAAATATATCAAGTTATGTACCTAGCAAAGGGCACACAAACATTTCCGTGAGAGAAAATCTATACTAAAAAAGAAAAGAAAATGAAAGCAATAAAACACGGGTTACTTTCCGAGAAAGGCTTGCTTAAGGTCCAAGCTTGACCGCTCTAGTAAATAATATTGCAACGAACGCAAGAGCTTGTCAAATGCACTGCTACTCATTTCGTAAGATAACAAGTAGGCAAATGACGGGAAGAGGAC